AAAGTGTGCTTCACCTACATAGGAATAAACCGGCCAGTACTTAAAAATGTCGATTCCTGAGTCCCACTCCAGATCTGCACAATCAGAATCTTTGAAGCTGCCAACTGGGAACACGCATTTTAACAAGTTCTCCCAGGTGACTGTAATGCAGGTGATACTATAAATTTATTGGAAGCCTTTTGTAAGGTCCCAGCAAAATGTTCCAGTCTGGTCTCATCTGTGCCTTAGCAAATTAAGGGGAGAGGCGACTCTTGGGCCAGAACTTTCCACCAAAAACAGTAGTCCTTCCCACCCCACTGCTGTCCAAGGGCCAAAGGGGTGAGCACCAGTAGTTAGCCGGAAGCCTCTGGTTCACTGGTAGAGTTTTGTGCCATCCATGTGGGAGACACAGGTTCAATTCCTGGCCACTGCACCTCATGCATGGCCACCACCTGTCCCTCAGTGGAGACCTGTGGGTTATTATGATGCTGAACAGGTTTCAACAGAGTTTATGAAAACTCTATGGTCACACCTATCCGAATCCTCAACCAGAGTCAGAAGCCAACCTGATGGCCGTTAACAACTCCCAGGGAGTGGGACTAGTGGAAATAAGCATGGGACTGCGAACCACAAGGGCTACAGTTTGATCCCATGAGTTGCTATTGGGGAGAAAGATGAGGTTTTAAGATCCTGCAAAGATTTAAAAAGCTTTGGAAACCACACATAGGGTCACTATGAATCAGAGCTGACTTGAAGGCACGTAACAACATTAACAACAACTCCAAGAATCAGGTAAGTGTATGAAGGGTTGGGCATTAGAGCTTTGCGGTCTAGCTGCTCTTCCTTTGCCAACCTTGGGAACTATGGTTTTATTCTATTAAAGATGGCACTTTCTTTAAGCATTTCTTCTTATTCCACAGATTTTATGTGGCACAAATATAGAAAGGCATTCTTTTCCATTCAGTCTCTTAAATTTGAATTCTCTTTCCCTTCTTTTCCTAGCTCAAAAACAAAACCGTTCTTTTACCACCTCACTGATAGACATTAGTTTTTGAAAACAACTTGGAATACCTAGTAAAATTTGCTCCTAAAAATTAATTAAATATTGATTTTTCAAACTTCCTTGTTAAGATTTATGGCCCAGACATCAATAAACTCTCTTGCAAGCAAAACTAAGTTAAGGGTGGCCACTCCTAGCTAAGCCCCAACTCAGGTAATTCAGTTCTAATTCCCTTGTGATTTTAACCATCTAAAGCGAATTAGGCCTGGACAGAGTGAAACAGACCAAGTGGAAAAAGTGTTTTCTGAAATGTTTTCTAATAGTAATTTAACTTAAAAGGATCTGATTTATTTTCATTTCATTTTGTATTCCAAATGCTTGAATCAACCCATAACTAGAACCTGACTGAGGAAGGTTACGATTTGGGAGCTTATGGCAAGAATTGCTTCAATTGTATGTTTATACAGTACCACTATTTTGAAAAGTTCAAGGGCAGGGTTGAATTTTCATTGCTTTTATCTCAATTTCATGTGTGTGTGTGTGTGTGTGTGTGTGTGTCCACAGACAGGAGGATAGATGGGTAGACAGAGACATGGATTTGAAAACATTTTGTTTTTTCATTTTTAAAACGGCAACTGTTGCTTAGATTAATTTTGTACTGCTAGGCATGCTTCCTGGAGGCATATGGCTCGGGGGTTGCCGTATAACGCTGGATCTGTAGCCTTCCCTAAGAACAGAGCACTGTGTTTATGATTTAACTGTTTCTTGTTGGTAGCAGACATTATATCATCAACTCGAGAACTCAAGGATTGGAATCATGGTCTTTCCTATTAGAACATAATAGCGCCTAGTTAAACTGACACTGATGTTATGTTCTGTGCCTGCTACCCCCAAATCTCATTCCATCCGCCTGTGTTCCATTAAAGATGCAGGGCCCTAACCATGCCATCATGGGTGCCAGGGTGCACAAGTCCAGGGGACTATTACCCCTGCTCTCTGAAGCCCCATGAACTGTGCCGCTGTTCCCCACTCCCCCAGCCTTGGGAGCCTTCCCTGCCTATCTGTCCGCCCTCTGTTAGAGAACACGTAGCTCTCTTGCACCCTAGCTATTTATGAGTATGGGTGAGTATGGAGAGGTGGTATTCAAGGTTTCAGACCCATGGGTCTAACACAGTGCCAGCCAGACTAGGTTTTCAGCAAATATTTGATGAATCACGGTATCAATCAATCAATGACGAACATATTAAATGTTGCATCTTGCTGTGCAAGGTTGAACACAGGTTTGAAGGATAGCAATATTTCCTTTCTAAAGCAGCATAAAAGAATGGGGTGGAATTCGCTTTAGTACCTTCAGAGAGGTTTTTTGTTTCCTGTCTTGCCCATTATGACTCACTCATGCTAACTGAGAATCTTAGGTAACAGTGACTCTAATATTCTGCCAGTTTTGCAGGCTTTCACTGTCAAGATGAGTTCTAAGTACGGCAGAGTCACAAAAGCCGCTGAACGCTCTGCATTCTACAGGGAGAAAGAAGGAGCACTCACTATTAGAAGAGTCGCATTCACAAAGGACCACTTGATGTCATCTTGATTGGCCTCCAAGGCACCTGGCACTACATTAAAAGCACAAAGCTCTCTACCTGGATAAAATGGCCCCTGATTAGAAAACCATCATGGAGTCTTGGAACTTATCTCATGCCTTCTGGAGGACAAAAATACTTCACGTGAGCTTCAACAACCAAATCTCTAGTACTGCAAACTCATCAAACTGAAGGATCATCACATGATCATGTATCTGCTTTCCCCACTGGGTTGAGGCCAAAGACAGTGCCTGTCACTTAGCCAAACCAAAGCCAAGTCCACTGCCACTTAGTCTATGCTAACTCAGAGCAACCCTACAGGACAGACTAGAACTGCTTCCTACGGTTTTCAAGACTGTAACTCTTCTTTCTCCTGAGGAGCGACTGGTGGATTTGAACCACTAACCTTTTGGTTAGCAGCCTAACATTTAATGCAGTGTGCCATCAGGGGTCCTTTGGCATTTGGTGGTGGTGGTGATAGTTCCAACTCATAGTGTCCCTGTTTAGGGTTTCTGAGGCTGTAAATCTATGGGAGCAGAAAGTCTTGTCCCATGGAACAACTGGTCAATTCTAACTAGTTACCTTGCGGTTAGTGGTCCACTTTGTAATCCACTATACTACCAGGGCTCCTTTGGCACTTAGTAATGGTTCAAAATACTTGTTTAGTAACAACCCTACATTATTCTTGGCACAATACAAACTCACAGAACTAGAAAGAGCTATGTTGTTGTTAAGTGCCGTCAAGTAGGTTCCAACTCACAGCGACCCCGTATAGGTTTCCAAGGAGCGGTTGGTGAGTTTGAACCGCTGACCTTGTGTTTCACGCTGACCTTGCGGTTGAGTGCTTATCTTACAGAGCCACACCAAGACTCCAGAAAGGACCTTAGGAATCATTTTAAACGATCGTTTCCTTTTCATTTCAAACACTGAACTGGAGAAACAAAATGAACTGCTCAGGGTTACATCAGATGACATCAAAAGATGCCTTATCATTGTTGCTGTTGTTGTTTTCCAGAATTGTTCTCCTCTCAGCCCATAATTCACAGGAAAATATCCAAGAGGGGCTTGAAATGAACCTTTGACACCTCAAGAGCTTCTTTTAGGTAAATATATGTGCCTTTTACAGTTTTCAGACCATATAACTTGCAATGCTCATACACAGAAACGGGAAATGGGTGAATCGCATGTGGTCAGTTTATTCTGGAGGGATGTTGGTACCTGCACTTCTCAAATGTTACTAATCCATTGGCCACTTCTCATTTTTCTCTGGGGCTTTTTGGGTGTTTTTTAAAAAGTCATAGCTCAGAAGTCCAGCTTTTTAATCCTCCATATAAAACCAAACTGTAAAATAATAGATCTACAGATATTCAAATTTCAGCATTTTAATTAAATCTGTAAACATCTACCAAATTAATTTTCAGCAGCAAAATAAGACGAAATTATGTGAAGCACGGGGACCAATTTATCAGCCCATTACTCATGATTAATTCAACAAGCTTTTACTTTTCTCCCTAAACTAGCTTCCTACATATCTAGAAATATATTCTCTCCTATAGATGAAAAACAGGCTTTGCAGACGGCAAAGTTTGGCCTGAGAAGAGCCAATGGGCTGCAGGAAGCTGAAAGGGACCCGGTTGCCAATGACACCGCAGATTCACTAAGGTGTTTTCCCAAACAGGGTTGTGCTCAGCTCACAGTCTGTGTTCCTAATATACTAGTGCCTCTCAGTTCAGGGCTGTTTTCCTTGGACCTTCATTTCCTCTAATATCTCTCCTCCCAAGACCAAGCAAGTTGAGAACGGAACTTCCTGATGCACATGTCCAGAACCACAGACCCTCCTTAGCAGACAGCACTGTCTCAGTTGGCCGTGCAGAGCAGGAGATGCTGCCATGTGTTAAATCACTAATAAAGACTGGTGCTCAGTAATGATTGGAAGTGCTCCGAGGACAGGCAGCCTTTGGATTCATTAACTTCTCATTGCACTGCCGGCAAGCTTTCCTCTGCCCACTTACCTAGCACGTCTCTGTCAGCCAGAAAAGGGAAAAGGCGGATTCCTTCAAACACAAAACGAAGCTTGTGCCTCCAGCTGATGGCTTTTGTTTTGTCCCACACTTGACTGCCTACTCACAGGGAAAAATCAGCTACTTCAAATGATTTTCCAGAGCAATTTTCTAAAGTGAATCGTTAAAACACTTTGGGATGAATCATTAAAACATTTTGGGATGCCGGTACCCCTAGAAGGAAGAAGCTGCTGATGCAAATAGAAGGCATCTGACCTGCTTCTGCATGAGTGGGTATATTTTAGCAGCAAGATCTCAGAAACCAAGTCTCTGTCAGGAGTCTCTGAGACATTTGCCACCCCTTCCCTGGCAAAATCCTTCTTTAAAAGGAGCATTCAACATCTTTGGCAAAATTTCAAGACCCATTTAAGCTTGCAACATAACCTGGGTGGTGCTGATATAGTTCAGGAACCTCCCGGCTTCTTCATCCAGGGACTGAGCGGGACCTGCCCAAGGCTGGAGATCTATGTGCCACCGGGGACCCTGTGAGAGACAGAAAGCACATGTTGGTGTGTGAGGAGCTTTCTGGGGGATGGAAGGACAGTGAATATCAGATAGAGACTGCAGGCTGCTTTAACTGTCAGCAAAACAAACACGTCTGCACACAGGCGGCAGGGAGCTGATTCGGAGTTACTGCCATTAGGGCCACATCAGTCAGAGAGACAAATGAAAGCCCAGATACTAGGTTTGGCACGAGCTTGTAAGGGCTCAGAGGACCATCTGAATATACTTCTGATCAAAGGCATACTCAATTTGACCCCACAGACTGGCTTTATATTACATGATGCTACTCTCTATTGCGAAGAAAAACTCCCTTTATCTACTACAGTTTCCAAAGCTTAGACCTTTGGAAATGTGGGCTTCCCTAAGGGCCCATGTTGTTGTCTGTGGTACCATAAAGCCTGAGTCTCATATTTATGGGGAAGAAATACTCAGGGGACATGGTGGGCCATTTTCTCAGTTCAAGGAGATGGATGGAGCAGCACCCCCTGGTGTTCAAAACCTCATAGCAAGCCCAGTACTTGGAACCAGGCACCTGTGGGACAAGGGCGTCGTAGCTGTCTAGATCAGAGTTGGAAGGTTGGCTTTCTTAGCACTCTGAGGCAGTGCCTCCCTTTCAGCTGAGGATGCGAAGAACATTCCCAAGCAGAGTGGTCAAGATGGACTCTAGGTCCCCTTATATAGCATGGGGTTGGGAGAAAGACAATGTTTCTGGAAAAAACAAAAATGAGAAATCCTCAAGTCAAAAGGAAGCAATGAATAAATGAAGTCCTGGCTAGAGCTCATTTACACCTGTAGTTCTCAGTAGGACCACCTTGTCACCACCAGAAACCTCTAGAAGGGTCACTGTGATTCTAAGGAGAAGACATGACTCAGAGTGCAGGGTAAGGAAGGGCAGGGGGAAGAGACTGAAGCATCGTGATACAGCAGAGAGGTTAGGATGAGCCCCTAAGCATGCTCTTATGGAAAGGAAGGTGGGAGATGGAGGTTCTGAGGACAAGGTTTTAAGAAGGGCCATTTGTGTGTATACATTGTTCTTCAGTAAGGTCTGATGCCAGGAATAATCAGTCATCTGAAAACAAAACATCTAAAGAGGCTAGTCCTAAAAGAATTTAGTGAAACCTGGTTTACTGCTCTAGAGGAGATGGTCTAGATGACTGGGCTAAACTCGAAGCAAGGAGGGGCTGGGGAGCAGGCAGGTTCAGTCAGTGAGGAGCCCTGTGTCTGGTGTGGGGAGGAGGCATACACCCCAGTGTGAGAATCAGATAAATGCAAACACATTTGAGTGAGAAAGTGTCATGCCAGGGCTAGGTATTATTAGACTCTGATCACTGCACAGTCCTGAGGGCATCTGGACAGGTCTGTACCACCCTTGTAGTGACCTAGAAATAGGCAGTCCCTCCACATTTAAAGAACCCTCTGATTTCTCACAAGCTACCTTTTACTCAGGAGTCCCTACAATAAGGCTAGCTTTCTAAGTGTGAAATCTACATGCTTAGAACAGCCCTAAGGTTGGTTTAAGGCTCTGCTATCTCTGTCTTGAAATTCTTAAATTCTTGTATATGTTTTCAACAAGGGGCCCTGCAATTTGCACTGAGTACTACAAATTAGGTTCCAGGTCCTACCCTCAGGGGCATACTTCCTGGGAGAACAGCGGTTTCTTATAGCTGTTCTTGTTCTATGAAGGTTGTGAAGGGAGAAAATAACATATTTCCCCAATTAATGCTTTTACTCTTATTTCTTTCATCCTTCTCTGAATCAGATGTTGATTAGTATTTGGTGAAGCAATATTTTTAAGCATTAGCTACTCTGTGCTGGCCAGGACTGTCTGGTAGGGAAGACAGATATGTGCAGAATCTCTGTGGTGGAGACACACTAAACACGAGGGAGAGTCATTCTTTTCAGTAAACAATTTAATTCGGGAATTACAAATTGCAAACACATGTAAAACAAAAACACCCCTTAGTTTTTCCTGGTCACGTTCTTTTTACATCAAATCCACAAAGTGTTTTTTTCAGTTGCTGTGGTGGTCAATACAGAAACAGTGATGCATTATGAAAGCTTCCAGGCCTGGGGTTTAAAACTTCACACACAACTGTCATGGGCTCACTCACAAATGTTCCCAGCATTAGCCCGGGAGCTTCTTATTAAAGACGATAAAGTTCATATGTCATAGTTTTCCTCTATATTGTTGTTAAGTGCCGTCAAGTGGGTTCTAACTCATACCGTATAGGGTTTCTGAGGAGCGGCTAATGAGTTTGAGCTGACAACCTTATGGTTCAAAGTGACCTTGCGGTCCAGTACGTATCCTACAGTACCTTACCAGGACTTCTTCCTCAATATTAGGGGTTGACACACTTTTTTTATAGTGTCAAATTGTATAGCTTCGAATTGTAACGTAAATGCAGTCATAGACAATACTTGACCAAATGGGCATATCTGTGTGCCTATAAAACTGCACTTACAAAAAGAAGGAATTGGCTGGATGTGGCCTGTGGGCTATAGTTTGTTGACACCCGCTCTATATAAAGCTTCTAGAGATTTACGTGTGGTTCTGATTTGGAGGTAAAGTGGCCCAGGAGAGAGTACATACATGAGGTGATATAAGAGAGACACATTAAGCTATCTAGATTATCACCAACTCTGTCATCAGGGTGTTCTGAGTGACCTGGGCAAATGTCAGGGTCCCAGCAAGACATGGAAGGCGCCTTCAAATTGTTAATTTGACTTAGTCCACAAAAATAATGTTCTATATGCCACTTTAGTAAGTAGTGACTGGGGCCTTAAGAGCTTGTGCTTAAGAGGCATTTAAAGAGCAATTATTGGTCTCTGCCTGCTTGGAGTAAAGAACAGAGATGAAAATTGAAGATGCATGGAACCAATGAGTCCACTGGACCACAGGAACATCGGTCTCCACAACCCTGAGCCCAGAAGAACTAGATGGTGCCCAGTTACTACTACCAACTACTCTGAAAGGCATCACGCTATAAGGTCCTGGATGGAACAGGAGAAAATGTGGAACAAACTCAAAATCATAAAAAAACAGAGCAGGTTGGATAGAACTGGTAGAAGCCTGAGATTATGGTCCGTGGTCATTCTACGGGTCTGAAACTCAACCTACCTTGTGGTTCAATTGTCAGCTAAGCAATAGATAGGTCTATAGTGGGGACAACAGCTTACCACAGAATAATCAACCATTTGAGATAAAGTGCAACATTGACCCAAGGACAAGTTAAGGATTGTTAGGAAAGAAGGAGGACTAGAAAGGAAGTACAGGGAGAAAGGGGGTTTAGTGAGGTTACACTGAAGGGATTACAATCAATGAGATGAAAAGAAATGTGTATGTAAATTTGAGATTTCAATAAAGCAACTTCTTATGGATTGAATTGTGTTGTCCTCCCCCCAAATATGCACATGGCTGGAGTCCTGGTGTGGTGCTTTACAATAAGTTTGTAGTTCAAATCCACCAGTCACTCCTCAGAAACCCCATACAGGGCCGCTATGAGTTGGAACCTACTCTGCGGCACTTAACAACACCTCCACGTATGGTTATGATCTTTCATTTGGGAATGGCTTCACAAGCTGACACATTTTTATCAGGCATGCCTAGAGCTGATCTCTTTTGAAATACAAAAGAGATTAAACAAGCACGTTAAAGAAGCAGAGACAAGTTAAGATAGATGCTAAGAGTCCTGGAGATTGCCAAGGAACCAGAAAGCAGACGCTCAGAAGAGACAAGAACCTGCCTCCAGAGGCAAGGAGAAAGAAAGCCTTCCCCTGGAGCAAGCATGCTGATTCAGACATCTAGCTGCCAAAACAATGAGAAAATAAATTTCTGCTTATTAAAGCCATTCACTTGTGGTATTTCTGTTATAGCAACCCTAAATAACTAAGACAAGGCTATTTACAAATGTGGTACTGTGGGTTAATGCGCTGGGCTGCAAAGTTTGTTTAAACCGCAAGGTCGGTGGTTCAAGCTCACCAGTCATTCCTCGGAAACCCTATACAGGGTCGCTATGGATCGGAACCAACTCGAAGGCACTTAACAACAACAACATACATGGTTGAAGGGAAGCAATAAGAAATAATGAGTGTCCAGGGTTGTTGATATCAGAGAGCCCTTATAAACACTAGATCTGAAGGAGCGAGGAGAGGGAGCGATTTCTAGACACAAGAGAGGGTAACTAATTGGAGAGGACTTCCTAACAGAAGTCAATCCTACTACATTCTCACTTTTCTCCTACAAATCAATCTCCTCCTCCAATTAGCCAAACCAAACCCAGAGGGCAGGGAAGCCATTTGGGACTGCATGGGTCAGCCTCCTGGGGTACAGGGCAAGGTGGGGAGTGGGTCTGGAGGGGCAAACTGAAGATCTTCTGGACAGCACTTTTTTTTTCTTTTTAAAGAAGCAGTGAGCGTGACCAGAGAGTAATTCATTCAGTCAATGGTCATGTGTGTCCTGGGCCAGGCTCTGCCACAATTTAATAAGGAACACATCTATTCAAACAAATATATGCAATGACGTGCCATCGAGGCTCTGACAGAAATTGATGTAGACTAAAACAGGGGCACAAAAACATGGAGGATCTGAGTATTATTCCATCTGTGGGAAGCAGCCTCCACTGTGGAAGCCCACAGGCAAATCAAGTGTCTTATGTGGTTACGAACTGGGCTGCTAACCTCAAGGTTTGCAGTTCAAAACTACCAGCTATTCCACGGGAGAAAGAGAAGACTTTCTGCTCCTGTAAAGATGTACAGCCTCGAAACCCTGTACAGGGTGGCTTTGAGTCGGAACCGACTCCAAGGCACATCATCAGCACCCACATTATTAAAGTGACAGCCAGAATGCTGCGGAAGCATTTAACCTGGGCTAACACACAAAACTAAGGAGCTCTGGTAGCGTAGTGGTTACGAATCGGGCTGCGAACCTTAAGGTCAGCGGTTCAAAACTACCAGCCGCTCCCCGGGAGAAAGATGAGGCT